AATAATAATAATAATAATAATAATAATAATAATAATAATAATAATAATAATAATAATAATAATAATTATAATAATAAAATATAAAATCAAAATAAAATAAGAGAGAATCAAAAAGATCCTGCAGAGTTAGATTTTTTGGTCACCTACAAATATTATGCTGATTACGTGTTGAGTCAAAACCCAAAAATGCATCCAGAGGATGAAGAACTTCACAAACTTTATACAAAATATAAGGAAGAGTTTGGCTTGCGTCAACTTCGAACATTTTTTGAGGCTCATCGTAATGAAGAATGGTTCTTAGAAAAATATCATCCAACTCATATCGCGAAAAGAGCGACAGAAATTAATGCCTTAAAGAAACAACTCTATGATAAGTTCATCACAGAATTGAAAGCTGGTAAATTTGATGCGATCTGCAATGAAAATGAAGAACCAGAAACAACTATTAAGGAGGATGCGGTAGTAAAGACGGAAGGTAAGAAGAGAAATATTAATTTTGTCTTGTCGTGTTTCTCTTAATTTGAACACTGCTGAATATTAACCTTGTTTGTTCCTATATTTAGAAACAGTGACTGAAGTCAAATCTGAGGTGGATGATGATGGAAATCGTCTTTTTATCAAGAGTGTGCCGCCCACTATTAAGCGCGAGAAAATTATTGAGGTAAATATATTTTCAATGATGATTTACTAATTTCTATATGCTAGTTCTTCTCTTCTAATAGAATTTGTTTATGAAGATGTGCAATAAAGTTGAAGGATTCAAATATCTTGCTTTATCGGAACCTAATCCCTCCAAAAAATTTCATCGCCTGGGCTGGATTGTTTTCGAAGAAGGAACCAATATGGATGCCGCATACGAACAATTAAATGAGCAAAAAGTAATTCATTAAATCTAATTGTATTTTTTGTGACTTTTTTGAACTGCCAGAATAATTTTTCTTATAATACTCGTTATTAATTCTTATAGGTTGATGAGTTCACTTTTTATTTAGCTCGTCACAAAAATGCTGGCACCGTTCGCAATCGTGTTGCCCCTGAAATAGCGAATCATATCGAACGGGTTACGAAAGATAAGCAACGCATGGAGGACATAATTAAGAAACTTGACAAAGAGCTCGGATTCAACGGTTATAGAAAACTTCGGGAAAGAATTAATACTATTACTAATGAAAATAAACCTGATTATGTAATTATTTTTTTTCGGTAATTCGAAGCTGTCAATTCTATCTATCGTCTTCGTTAAATGACAATAAAATTTTTTATTATAGCATCAAAAGTCTTTGGATTTGTATTTAGAATATGCACGCCGGGTTCATTTATTCTGTTATTATTGTGGTAGCGATTCTGATTCGGTGGAAGAATTCGCGAGAAAATGCCCAGGACGTCACTTGAGGAAAAAAGGTGAACCTGCCAAAACATCAAAAGATAAGCAAAATCAGGGTGAGTGTGGGTTCATTTATTTTTTCCTGTTCGTCTACTTATTAATATATTAACTTTTGGTATTTAATGTAACATAGTACAATGGTTAAAGACACTCGAAAATAAGATAGATATCAAGCTCAATCCTGAAATTGCCTTGTCCAAAATTCAGAAACTAGGCGGGAAGAATTTGGAGACGTATGCTTATCACCATAACTTTTATCATTGTGGTTATTTTAATTTGTACTGACCGATTAATTCAATAGGGAACGTGATGCTTTTTTGGAAACCAATACTGTTGAAATGGAACCTGGGGTAAAATTTCGATGTTCAATCTGCGGTAAATTATTCAAGGGACAGGAGTTTGTGCGAAAACATATTTGTCTCAAGCATGCGGATAAAGTGAAAAGTCTTGAAAACGAAGTAATTGTTAATTATTATTTCTATTAATCCAGAATGAAAATATTATTTACTAAATTTTTTATTTGTTAGATTACTTTCTTAAATAATTATGTAATGGATCCGAGTCACCTCCTTCCCACCACACCACCTAATCCAATTGCTGCATTGAATTCGGCTCCAAACGTATCTCCTATTCCTCCTAATCCATTCCCTGTAATGGGAAATGGTCCACCAGCAATATTTCCGTTTAACTTCCCTGCTATTCTTGGTGCCGCTGCTGGAACACCGCATGATCAAATTCCGAGAATTGGATTCGACGGACGCAATGATCCCCGCGATTTACGTAATCAGAAATTGTCGACTGATAAAAGACGAATGGATGCTCGTGCTAGAACAAGGTAAAAGATAAATCATTTTTATTGTAGAACAAGTATCTTGTACTGATTGTTATTGATTTATGTATGTAGTGAATTCCCACTGTCTACCGATCCTCGTCAAGTCAAATCCTATGTTGATTTAGACGCACCCGCTGAAGGAGACATTGAGATCAAATATTAATTCACTTTATAATAATAATAATAATAATAATAGAGTTTCTTATATAAAAATTGGTAATATCTGGATTTTAATTTCACATTCGTGTCGTGGGATCCACTTGGTTTTAGTAGAGAAATAATTGAATAATGAGAACGTGTATTGTTATCGACATATATATTTATAATTGGTTAAATAAATAATAAGTTACATAATAATATTCCATCGATGAAAAAAACCTTCGATATCACTATATTATTTAGTTAGACTAATCGTCCGACGATGTTGTATCGTTTCTTGAAAAAATCATACCATTGATCCAAAACTTTGAGCTGCAAATTTTGAATATATAATGTATTAATATAATGTAGAAATTGACAACGATAAATAAAATATACCTGTTCGTCATTTAAAGTGCTAATATCAGCTACCGCATCTTCAGGTTTTAATGAGGTTTTACCTAGAGCCTAATATGTGCACATTTCGAAGTTATAAGAACATTGATTTCAAGTAAATTAACCATACCACAAAATTACCCTAGATGCATCTTTTCCTGCGAAAATATGATAGCTGGCTCCAGGACCATAAGTATCACGTTTTGAGCTAACATCGAATATAGTTCCCTTGATAGCAACATACACTGGCTTGTTAGGATCATCCCCACTATACTAAAAAAAAAAAAAAAAAAAAAAAGAAGAAAAAATTAGAAAATCAAACACTTTGACAGAATTTTTATCAAGGTTAATTAAATAAGCCCAACAACCTCTGATAGTTGTGCAGCGGTGAATTCGTCGTCTTTAGGTGGATCCAATTTAAGGTCGTCTGGAATTGCAACGTCTGGTGGTCCCGAACTTTTTTATTGGCAAAGTGGAATAGAAATGTACGATAATATATATGGAAATTTAAAGAGAAAAATCGCTGTTAAAGATTTTCATGTATCATTTATAAAGTTGACAACGATAGATCGTCAAAAACGTAGGGTATATATACTAACGAAAGTCTACACATAAGTAGTTCAAAATGTATTTATTCTCACCTCATTTTCGAAACTTCAATTCTGAGAATTTTAAATTCAAATACTAACGCTAACACATCGCCATTTTATAGGATACACCATTACCACGTGTTTTGTATCAATGCGATTTATCGTTGTATGTTTACTCAAATTCTTTAAAAACACATAAAATTCGATTTTCGTAATGTCGCGATACAATATGGACATTGACACGAACCTAACTTTCTCAAATAATAATACGTTTCGAATACAATCTTATGCTAACCAATTTGCGACATATTTGAAGGAGGAAAACTATGATCCTTTAGCTAAGTTGTTAAGCATAAGTGAGGAGCATTCGAAAAATCTTGCGGGAGCGCTTGACAGTGGAACCGTATGATGACTTTAGTAGAATTCACTGCTTTTTGTTCATTCTTCGTTCTTTTCTAAATGGATATTCGACAACAATAGGCACGTTATGAAGATATACAACATCATTTCACGAAACCATGGTCTGAAATAGTATCTTTACACTTTAAAGTTTTATTAGCATATTACAGACGAGAGTATATTAATGCATTTAATGCCCAACTCGCTTTAGTAAAGTATCCTTTTCATCTTTTAATCGATAAAGTTTTCTTTTTCATCAATATCATTGATCATTATAATAAGCCTTAAATTTAGTAACATAAAATAAAGCCTTTTTCTAAGGGAAGCTTTTACGAATTTAAATTTACAAATATTTTATAAGGTGAATTGGGATTTGAGAAAAGTTGCTATTGAGGTAAAAAAGAAACTGCTAGACTACGTACCAGTCGAGATATAACTTAGAAATAATCTCATGTTATTTCGCAAGTCTCAATAATAATATTTACAAGGGAATAAAAATGTTTAGGCTGATAAAGAATTAAAGCAATCAGGCCAAAAACCTAAATATCTCGAAGAAACAGGACGTGTTTTGAATAAATCCTTTAGCATGTGTGTGACAGACAGGTATTTTTCTTAAAGAGACGTATTGTTTGGGATTGAGGCTTGTAATGCTCGATTAGTCTAACTTCACAATTTTTCATTGAGAGCACCAAAAGGTGTATCGAAGCAATGGGGAACTTACTATATTGCAAATTTATTGATCAAAACACATCATAAGGTACGAATGTCAAAAACAAAATTTGATTCTTCCAATGGATTGATGTTTGCTAATCGACATATTATCATAGCTTGGCCACGAGAATCTATGTAAAAATATTTTGCGAGGTGTAAATTCTGCCGATTTGCCGCCACTTGAAGATTACCCCAAAGCGCATCAAATTACTTTTAAATATTACAATGGTCTGCTCTGCTTTGCCGATCAACAATATGCACAGGTATTATTTAATAGATTCTATTTTCAATGAATTTTATTAATTTATTTATTATTGCGATTCTTTGTATTTAGTCCGAAGAGTTCTTAAAAGGAGCCTTCAGAATGTGTCCAATTTCATATACAAGGAATAAAGAGTTAGGGGGCTCAATTATCTCATTAATTTATGATTCTTTACACTATAACGGAAAGTTTTTGATCAATCATCTACTTTTACTAGGTTGATTTTGCGTTATTTAATACCAGTTTGGATGATTAGGGGCGTTCTTCCTACAAATGCATTAATCGATCGTTATCCTAGACTTAAGACATTGTATTCTCCATTTATAAATGCCATTCGGACAGGGAACGTCAAAGCTTTCGATTTGGCTTTTGCAAACGCAGAGCATATATTAATCGAACATGGAACCTATTTAACAATTGAAAAGGCTAGAATGGTTTCCGTCAAGAATTTATTCAAAAAAGTGTACAGTATATTCCGGTTCATTAATTTATTTAATATGTCTTTTTGAGCAATTTTAACATGACAAAGAAAATTTTCCATGATAAACGACTAGTTGGAGCCATAATAACAAAGGTTCAAAACTCCCAATGTCCCAATTCTTAACTGCGTTGAGATTTGCCGGCATAGATGCCGATATGGCAGAAATTGCATGGACTTTGTCCGTGATGATTCACATGGTGAGAATTATTGATGAATTTTTAAGAGCTGAAATCAAATCATTCATTTCGTAATTCCTTTCTTTTTTATTAATAGGGATTTATCAAAGGATATTTATCACAATCGAAACTGATGGTTGTTTTAAGCACCAAAGAACCTTTCCCATCCCAAGTTAATGTTTGATCTCAGTAGTAGTACACATGTTGTTACACCATCAATCACTGGCCATAGCACATGCAATACATTAATAAGCCTCATTGAATATACTTTTCTAGGCTGTAAACATAACCACAACCTCTCGTTACGATATAACATAAATAAAAATGGAACAACTGTATTTCTTCCTATATTCACTAAAAAATGACAGTAGTTAATTTAGCAACACATACGATACACGCACTTATAGTGTTGATTCTTAGCGGAGTCTTTATCTTCAACCTGTATAACGGAGTTATTGGGTTAAATAGCACCGAAAATTCTTTTTCAATACTAAAAAATAGTTCCTTAGTTCCACCAGCAGTTACATTATGTATTGATAGCCCAAATTACACTTTCAATATAACGATCTATGGAGTTAAACGTAATAACCAAGATTTTCTCACGACTTATACAAGTGATTCTGAAGAATTAGCAAATCTAAAAGATCTTGTAACAAAATGTTGGGTTAGTAATTGATTTTATTACTAAAATTTTGGGATAATTTTTCTTTATTAATTTTATGATTCAAATAAATTAGATACTTTCAGCCGGTCGAGAACCGTTGTTACAAGATCCACCACCTACAAATGACGTATATGATATGGTTCTCACTTACACCAGACCACTTGCCAATCAAAATGATCTTAATTCTCCAATGTATCTTAATGTTTTCGATCCTCTTGAACTAAGTTCACTGTTTCAGTTCAATCGATTCTTGTATTTAGCGGCAGATGCAAATAGAGTAATTACCTTTTCGAGAACTCAATATATTACGGGAAACAAAACCAAGAATGATGTTATATACAAGATAGTGGATGAATATAGAGATCCAAGTTGGACTAATCAATCGGTTGCAGTCAGTAGAATTGTAATTCGACCAGGTAAAAAAGGAATTTGACCTTTATTATACTCCTTTTTTTTGATAGCTAACAAAATTTTTGGTTTTTTTTCTCCAGAGTCTTTTGTCATTTCACAAACCACAGAGGTTCCAATAGCAACTAGGAGGTGGGCCATATTCCGAGAAAGTCTTACACTTCTCGGTGTATTGTACTCAGGATTCTATCTTACTGTGATGGGCCAAGGGAAATTTAAACCTTGGGGTATATTACATAGAATGTTAAATTATTATCCTATTGAACATATTCGTTATCGTGGTTCAAATGATGAGAATGACAGATCCTTGATTTCAAAAGAAGCTGGCGTATCGTCTGAGCCTAAAGTAGAAGAAAAATTGAGTGTATATTTAGCAAGATTTAACCGTGCAAAGTATCATCAGTGATTAATTTAATTTATTTTTTTTTTTGAATATTATAGACATTATGCAATATAAAATATGATCTATTGATCAATTTCAAAGAAACAAAATGAATTTCGAAATGCTAATTAACTTAAAAAAAATGAAAAATGCGAAATTTTTTCACGAAAAATATTAATCTGCTTTCGTATGATCTATCGTGGTCACTTCTTGATCACTCAAAGGCTTATGCGCGTCCTTGAGCGGAGGTCTTCTATCCGCCTATAATATGAAAAAAATATGATATAATGTGCTTAAAAACCTTTGACTATTGATCTAGTTTGAAGTCAAGCAGTAGGACAATTCTGAATAGGGATTAGAACTAAATTTATTTTTAATATCTTGTACAAGAATTGTCTCGTATGTAAGGATAGTTGATTACCTTTGGTAGCCTTGCAGCTCGAGGAGAAGCTAATTCGAGAACGAACATTAACATACTAGAGACAAGATATATCTCATGGGAAACGTCATGCGCCTTCGTGGTATAAATTAAAGTAGTGATAGTGGCGATACCCCAAAGAATTGAAAGTGGAATGGCCGGCTTAACGATACCGCGGTTCTCGTAATGATAAATATTGACTGTTATAAGCTTTTTTCGTACAGTTACAATTGACCAATAATCACAATTTTATAATGTATAGACAATTGGGACGATTGATAAATAAATGGGTGAATATATGCTAGCATTGAATAAGATAAATCTATTTACCGCAACTGTCAACATTGCTCCCGAAACAAAAACTTCAGGTGGCGGGTGATTAAAAATATATTGTGCGATATATTTAATGGCAAACATGAATGCTAAACTTCTTAGGATGAGCTTAAGACGAGAAATGAATTAATAAAAATACGTTATCTCCAAAACAAAATCTAAAATAAAATACAAACCAATTTTGCGTGCATTGCTGGTGATTCGTCATTAGGCTCAGGAGGGATATACCAGTTTCCTTTACTACTTCTATGCCTCATCGTAAATAGTGCGCTAGGTATCACCGTATATATAACAATAATCGCAGGAATTCCAGCAATGCTGCGTATAGGAAGAAAAAGCATTAGTTTACTTTTTAATTTGCTGGAAGAGTACACGTTTTTATTTACTTACATGTCAGCGAGACTAAGAGCGCTGAAAAAATCAACCTTATAAAAATAAATTCCAAAAATTTATTTTACATGGGATTCATTTTTTTTTTTATTATCATTATTATAGCATAGAAATGCGACAAAACATACCCAATGTGGTGGCAAACGTGATTGGATTATTGCAAACATCTTTATTCGTTAGAAAACCCTGAAGAAAAACAAAACAAAACAACAGTATTAACAAAAAATTTTAAAAAAGGTCTTCCATTTTTAAAATGACTATCCCCGACACTAATTTCGGCGCGACTGTATGAAACATGTGATTTTTAAAAACACGCTATAAATTTTGCACGTGATCCAACGACAACTATTTAGCTCAGCCAATCAAGTTTATAGATATAAATTAACACCTTCTTTTATTCTCGTTTAAAACTTTTTCACTTAACCTACCCTTGTTAGATTTTCCCCTGGCTTAATTGTACATGTGCAAGATTTGAGGTTATGTCTGGAACAGCTCTCACTACTTTACAGCGCGACATGTCCAATATCAAATTAGAGCCTTTTCCTCTCCAGGTGATTCTAAGTAGCGACACACGTCACCAACTTAAACTTTTAATCCTCTCGTCTTTCAAAACCTTTACGAAAATTCCTAACCATAAAAGTTTTTCATGAATTGATATATAGGACAATATTTGCGGTTCACAGTTGTGCTTATCCTACTCAAACATGCATACAACTGCTCATAACAATCAGAAAGATGGTAATAGGTCACCGTGTCATTGCTCTGATTCAGAAGACACAGAATCTATAACAGGGTCAACTTCGATTTCTAGTACATACTCACAAAAACTCGAAGAACAAAGCGATTATATAGACCCGGAATTATTATACAATGATGAAGATCCTTTTTGGATTTCAGATACTGCATCAAATCCTGATCAACCTCTGATACCTTGGATAGAACAACTGGTCTCTTGTAGTGTTTGTGGTGGTCCGAATTTCGTATTGAACTTTATCTGTGTCTGTAATGGTTGCAATAAGGGATTTCACCAAACTTGTCACAGACCCGAGATAACCGATAGGGATGTCAATCGTCAAAATGCTCTAGGTGATACATGGTACTGCAAAGACTGTCATTTGAAAAATAATTTAGAGAACAATAACACATTGATGAATTGTGGTAAAGATTTTTCATTTATCCTGATAATTTATCTTAACGATGAGAAATGATATGAGAAATCTAAGTTTATATGCTTTTTTTTTTTTTTCCTAGAAAACAAAGTAAATAAAGATGACACTGTGATTGGATGGAGGAAACAACAACAGAATGCTGACGACAATAAGAAACAACAACAACAACAGAATGCTGACGACAATAATAAGGAGAAGTCAGAGAATATGATGGAAATTGAGGAGGGGAATGAGGATAAAGAGGGGAATGATGAGGATGAGGAGGGGGAGGAGGCGGAGGGATCAACGTGTTCATCAACAGAAGCTGAACTTTATTGCAGATTGCTTGACCCGAAGAATGATCAAAGGGTCATTCCTTCTAATTTATCACCAAGTCGTCATCGTAAATTATACACGACCACTTCAGAGATTCGAAAATTCTTTAAGAATTGTCCAAACACCGATAAAGATTTTGGTCAAATATTTAAACCAGAAGATTGGACTCACACAAAAGAAAATATTCATACGTCAAGAAAGTCATTGAAATCCTCGAAAATTAATAATTCCTCTGGAAAGACCTCCAAGCTCATTGATGATGACGATAATCACGAGAAAGGGACCAATATTAAAGGGGTTAAAAATAATAATAAGCGTAGTTTACCCGCAAGAAATTCCATCACATCTCCCGTCAAAAAATCAGCTGGATCTTTGAAAAATGCAACCGTCACAAATAAAGGGGCAATGAATCAAGTAAAAAGCCCAACAAATAATGCCCCAAATAAAAGCAAAGCCTCGGATCGAATCGAAGAAGAGGAAAGCGATTTTGACATTTTATCACTGATACCAGCTAATGTAATCCCATGCATGAGCTTAGGTGTCTTGTCTTTCCGAGAAGGGACTATCGATCCGAAAAGAGGACAAATCAAAAGAGGACATATTTTCCCAGTGGCCAAATAAATACTTTTTTAGATTTCTGAACTAAATTGTACTAGATTTATCACAAAAGAGAGACTAAAAATATTATGATAATTAATTTGAAATAGACCTTGATTTTTATTTTAGCTAACAAGAAGAAATAATAATAATAGAACATATTGATGTCATATTATAGTTTCGCTTGTTTAATTATAATTTAAGTGGATAAACATGTTCATTATTGCTCCCCTTCTAGAATAAAAGAATAATATTAAGTGGCCAGATTTGTCATGTGAAATGTGAGAATGAAAACACGTGTAACAATGGATCTAAGAGAATTTGAAACTCGCTAATTTAACATATACACATACATAAATATAATTTACTTTAGAGTGTTTTCTAATGCGAGAGAACAAAGCTCAATTTATAATGATAATGAATTTCGCTTGATAAATTACATAAAGGATTTGAACATCAATGTTGTGCATTTTTTATTACTACGTCACTATAACTCGTCATCATAATTCGAATTCTCGGCATTAGAACGGATCTTGCTCCACAATACAGATCTTCCATTAACAGGCCAAATATTTTGCACTCGTTCCTTGGAGTTTCGCGGAACCCAATCAAAGGAAATCCTCTCAATCAATAGTGGTTGATGAAGCATCGACCGGATCAGACATACCAAATCAATCATTGGTTCATAATTTATTGGTTTGTCATTAACTAATGATTGAAGAACATTATCAGACATACATTCAAGCACTCCTGCATTTTCACCTTGCATTCCACCCCCAGTCAATAATTAAAATGTTGCCGTCGTCATCACGAAGGAAGTTATACTTTCGAAGGTCCATATGTATGGTGGCGCATAACATCCAAAGTCATTAAATATTTGTATTTTATAAATTGTATAAACTTCTTGACTAAAAGTAAAATTCAAAATTTAATCCATGAATATGTAGAATGAGTCTTAATATTCACGGATTAAATTTTGAATTTTACTTTTTAGTTAAGAGGTTTATACAATCTATAAAATATAAATATTTGATGACTTTAGATGTTATGCACCACCATACAAGCTGAAAATTTGAATACACCGTCTTAAGGGTTCCAACGGATGTTTTCGATATCTTTCATTTGCAGATTATTGATTTTAGTGCAAAGAGGAGACATAATAAGAGTATCATCGTTGCTCAGAAGGAGTTTCGGAAGATAAGATGAATTCAAACCTGATAGTCTCGTCAATATCTTCTTTTAGTTGACAAAACAAGGCAGATATGCTTCATTTTTCGCTTTTTTTACGACTACAGATCTTTCACTGCTCTCAAAAAATCCTTCATACACAATACTCGTTCTACTTGCACTGACAGATCGAACCAGTATTTCCATCAAAATTTATTAAAGGTTCGATCCATTCCAACTGATCCGGAGAATTCTGCATGATTGTCACCAAATATTTCCATCCATCAGGAGGTGTTATATGTTAATGACTCAGATGTCGTGTATCTATACGAAAATTCATTATCCTCATTTCTAGTTACTTTATAGATATACACGTTGTCGTCGTTGTTGAAGTTGGTGCACTTTTTCGGCAAATGCCACTGCGTGTCCTATGTCAGCACTTTTAAAATTCTTACTTTTCTTATTTTCACCAACAGCTACAACATTCAATGGATCCAGATGTTTTCCTTTTTGAATGAATACAAAACCTGGTTTTCGAGTATTCAGTAATGATGTACTACTTGTGTCTTCAACATGAAGTTTGTTTTTCTGGTAGTACTTTGAATGCCGTACATTCATCCATGAAGTATCCTTGTATTTCATCTTCACTTGATTTTGCGCCTGAAAGGTTGGATGGGTTTCTGAAACTTTCCATGCGAATTTCGTCTACGAATTTGGGTTAATGGAAATGGGAAATCCATTACACTGCCATATTTAGCCACGTCATTACTTTTCTCAGTTTCCGTATTAGTACCTAAAGACAAATAATAAATCATTGAATGGTGTTTGCAGAAATTGTTGATGGATTGAATGGTGAACTCAGCCAAAATAACGTATTTTTTTCACTTCACGTCTAAGTTCGTCTATTTCTTTTTTGACGACCTTCTCAATATGTCTTTTCAGAGATTCTGCAAGATGAGGAAGATATGAGATACCATTAAAACAAATAAAAAAACACATCTAAGTATAGGTTTGAAATGTCCTATACATTATAAAATATGATATGGCATAAGTAGAAAAATGAAACAATAGCTATAGAAATTTTGCGTTCACTCGCGCTGACCAAATTTATTATGATACACTTACCGATAGCACGAATGTGTTTTTTTTGGGGCGGGTTTGAAGATAAGTACCAAGGAAAAAAAAAAAGCACAAGATTAGTGAGTATTGCACCAGAAACAGACCTTTTATCAATTATTAGCGTTATTTATCTTGCAGAGATCAAGTAATTTTTCCACATCAGCTAATTTAATATCCTTGTCAGTGAGATGTTACTTAGCTATATATGATTTTTGCGTAAATTGAAAATTTGTTTTTTTTGCGGCGAAACCGATTTTTTAGATAGTCACGTGAAAAAATAAATGTATACAGTCTGATATAATCATTATTAGTTCGTTATAGAAAGAGCGGACACTATAGAAAATATAGTAACTTTATGTAACGAACTCTTTTTTTTAACAGAACCATCAGTTCGCTATATAAAGAGTTGACTGTATTAAATTTCTCTAAAACAAAATCCGGTAACTTTGGACACGATATCTTGACGTCTAAAATGTCCAATTCGGACAAAAATAAGACCATTCAATTCGCCTATATTAGGTGAATTGAATGGTCCGGATTTTTGGTTATTTTATTAATTAAAAATTTCGCGTAGATCCATCACGATATGGATTCTGCAAATCCGAATATCATATATATTATCATGAATAAATAAATCCCGCTATTTAATTACACAGAGATTGTCAATCATTTTACATTAGGTGTCGTCTTTGAACATAAATATATGGCAGACATTAATAAAGACATAGATTCAAATAATGAAATCGAAAAGTTTATTCGATCGACACCTGGAATTGAGAAAATACCTTTCGTAGAGTTTACTAATATTGAGAAAATTGCCGAGGGAGGATTTGGTGAAGTGTACAAAGCTATTTGGAATAAGAATGCTCGGACTAAGATAAATGTTGCATTAAAGTCAGCTAAGACAATAAAAGAATTATTGCATGAGGTAATTAATTTTAATGGTATCTAAAGTCGCAATTTGATTTAAGCGATAAGTATGCAAAATTCCCTATTTTTGTAGTTATTTATTCACCTTCGTTATTATTCTATTTATATAATAATAATTCACTGGAGGCTAAATTGACCTATGAGTGTGAAAAAAGACGGTAAAAATTATAGCTAAGATTATTATTTTATTTAATACCTACTAATTATCAACTTTTTTGATTAGTGCTGATTATGAACGTGAGAATTCGTCATTTATTTTCATTTTCATTTTAATTTTAATTTTAATTTTAATTGATATTAATTTATTTAACTAATTCATTATTCTATCTTTAATTTAGTTGGTAAGAAATCAACG